ACTGAGCCATCTCTCCAGCCCCAAATAGTCCAATTTCAATTACACCTCCCCTAGCACCATTTCTCTTCATTGGGACAAATAGTTATTTTCAATTATAAATTTAAAAATACAAGAAGAAATTCAAATGTTTTACAATAGCTATTTTTCTCCTTTTGTGAAGTAAAATTTTTTGGTTTTTTGTTTCATTTGTTTAAAGATTTTTATTTTTATGTGTGTGTTGTATGTGTGTACAACATATGTGTGGGTGCCTGTGGAATCCAGAAGAGGCTGTCTGATTCCCTAGAGCTGGAGTTACAGGATTTTGTGAGCCCCCAACCTGGGTGCTGTGAACCAAACTCAGGTCCTCTGGAAGAGCAGCAAGTGCTCTGAACCACGAAGCGAGCTCTCCAGCCACTAGCTTGTTTCTTAATTAACATACAAAGTAATAAACTTCATTATATTTAAAAGTATTTTCATTTATTGAGAATGTCACACAAGCATACAGTGTATTTTGATCATATTCACCCTTCACTGCCCCCTCCCACTTCTCCCAGATCCCCTCTCAATATATCCCCTTCACAACTTCCTGTCTTTCTTTTCTTTCTATAATCCCCAGGAGTCAAATCAGGGCTACATATATGCACAGGATGTCATCCTGTGCAACATGGGCAACCTACCACTGTCCACACTCCCAAAGAAAAATGACTCTTCCTCACCCGGCAGCTGCCAGCTGCATTATGGCATTCCATACATACTTTGTTTTGATTGGTCCTCCTTTCCCACTCTTCTCCCCCCAGTGTCCTGTGCCTACTTTGCACCCTTCTCCCTCAGTAGCCCCCTGATGACTCTGATGTCACAGGTATTCTATTACCCTCTCCCTACTTCTTCGAAAGCATTCCTTCCTTCATGGTCCCTTTCTAGTTTCATGAACTCTACCTACACTCATGCCAACATACATATGCATGTGAAAAAATTAAAATGTAGTGTCGACATATGAGAACATATGACATCTGTCTTCTTGAGTCTGAGTTACCTCACTTAATATAATTTCCAGATTCGTTCATTTTCCTTAAAATTAAATAACTTCATTTTTTGTTAGAGTCAAATAAAATTCCACTGGTTATATTTTTATTATACATTTATCTATTGATGAACATCTAGACTGATGCCATTTCTTTGCTATTATTAATAGAGCAATAACAGCTATTTCTCTTTCTTAAAAACATTTTATTATTCTTATGTGTATGAGTATATTGCCTGCATGTATGTAAGTGCACCCACATAAGTCAGAAGAAGGGGTCAGATTCCCCCAGAACTGGAGTTATGGATGGTTGTTAGCTGCCACATGGGTGTTGAGAACTGAACCAGGACCTCTGCAAGAGCAGTCAGTGCTCTTAACCACTAAGCCATTTCTCCAGCCCAACAACAGTTATTTCATGAGGAAATTTTCCTACTTTAAATATTTTAAAGTTTAGAACTAACACTTATGAAAATGTAGATAGCTCTTTAAGGCATTTGGATACACTAGACTCTAAAATAATGCTATTAAAAGAGATACTACTAAACAGCTTAAGAAAGTTTTCCTAGGATTCCTGAGATCAGCCCTCTATACTGTACACCACTAATCAAAGTAGCCTCTTTCTGAAACAGATGGAAGCTATTACAGAGTTCCACAACTGGTCACACACAGAGAATATGTCTGAGAGATGCCCAGCCCTAGGTCACACATCTATAGTGGAACCTCTACACCTAAGGCTCATGGAACACAGTAGAAGAAGGGGTGTAGAGAATATTAGTGCATCCCTCAACTCTCATCAATGACGCTTCCCTATACAACGAAGTATGATGCACACAAAAGGCCACAACTGGCTAAGTTTAAGAGAATAAGAGACTGCAGAGTGTGTGTCCCAGGATAAAACCCCTGTATTAAACCTCACCCACCCACATCTCAGGGACCATTTAAGAAGAGGAGCGGAAAGATTGTAAGAGCCAGAGTTGGTCTGTGAATATAGGGAAACAGAGGCTTTCAGGCCACTGGAAGCTTGGTCATGTGAACTTGTGGTAATGGTGTCATCAAGCACAAGACCTATGCAGACTCAATCAGACAAGGGCCCAAAGAGAGAAATGGGCGACAGGCCCTGGCCTTAGCCTGGAAACTGTTGGCAACTAATTATTGCTGGTTGAGGGAGAGTAGATCTTCTTTAAGATCTCTAGATAGGCTGACTAGACTCCAGTGGATGAACCTGCACTGAAGGACATTTGAATACAAATGCTTGACCAGATAGAACTTAACATATATAACAGAATGCATGAGGTCCAGCAGGAGGGCTATGGGGGTATAGACGGGGGAAGGGGGTCTAAATTTGATTCAGAGCTACTGTATGAAATGCACAAAAGCTCAATAAAAATATTAAAGAAAAAAGTATTATATAGTATATTGAGAGCTAGACACTCTAATCATTTTCTAAACCAAAAATGGTTCATATACTCTAAAATGAGAATATTTTCTGATATATTTAATTTATATGAAAGGTCTTTATGATATATCTCTTTTTTAAAAGTACATAAACAAGGGGCTGGATACATGGCTCCACGGTTAAGAACACTCACTGTTCTTCAGAGGATGCAGGTTCAATTCCCAGCACCCACATGATGACTAACAACTGACTGAAACTCCAGTTCTAAAAGAATCCGATGCCTTCTCCTGACCTCCGCAGGTACTGCATGACATGGTACATTTACATACATGTAGGCAAAACACTCATACTCATAAAATAAAAATAATAAAATACATTTTGTTAAAAGTACATAACAAAGACAAAAACAAAGACCTCTCTATAAAGTAAGGGTCCATTTATACCCTAAAGTTGAGTGTCCATCTTACAACAAGCAGCAGGGAAGGAAATCTGAGTTTTCAAGGGGGAGAAAGAAAGACCTCTGAATAGAGTCAACTGAGTTAGGACAAAATTCCAATTCTAACATGCAAACACTAAACAGATTTGTAACCCACATTAACTCATATTCCAAAATGTTTCATTTTTATAACCCTGAAGCTTCCTCAGAATAGACATCAAATTTTCTTAGGCCAAATACGTATCTTTTAACATTCATACATTATCAGCAAATGTGTACCTGACTAATGCTTCTCACTGGTTTAAGTAACTACATTTTCCAATTTTTAATGCACTACCTGAATTTTTCTATCCAGTCCTACTCTGTATAGAGTCTCAAATTAAAGAAAACTTGTCATAACTCATTTGGCAAAGTTCAAAAAAAAGCAGAGTATTTCATATTTTTTTTCTGACAGGAAACAGAAGACAAAAAAATATGACAAATTATTTCAAACAAATAGATTATGTTTCAAAGGTGTGTTTATAAACTGGAATGTTTTCCCCATAGAACATTATCATTTGATGCCAAATAACACTGTATCTAGTTATCAATAACAGCCAAATGGTTGATAAAAAAATTAAAAAATAAATAATAAAAATACACTATAATTTTCACATAAAATGTAACAAAAACAATGAAAACACTAATATAAATTCTGAATATTGGTACCTCAAAAAATAAGCTTTAATCTAATTCCGCTAAACTTTAGGACATTCTGGCTACTTAAAATTTCTAGCTTGATAATGTTGACTTGTTTCAAATTTTCTTTGTTTTATGAATGTTGTTTAAGGGAGGGAGGGAGGGAGGAAGGAAGGAAGGAAGGAAGGAAGGAAGGAAGGAAGGAAGGAAGGAAGGAAGGAAGGAAAAAGAATGTTGTCTAGCACCAGTATAAAAGGAGAGTGACAGAACACTGATCCTAAGTTTGGTACAAAATAACCTCTACAAAAAAAGCACATGATTCTTGGGATGGAGAGATGGCTCAGCAGGTAAGAGGACTGACTGTTCTTGCAGAGGACCCAGCACCTACATGGCAGCTAACAACCATCTTTAACTCCAGTTCCAGGGGATCCAACTCTGAGGGCACTGTATAACACAGGTGCACTTACATACATGCAGGCAAGACACTCATGCACATAAAGTAAAAATAATAAAATATTTTTTTAAATCACATGATTGAGGCTCACAGCCACTGGGCAGCAATCTGAAGAGAAAACAACAAACAAAAAAAGAATGTGCACATGTTTGAGCTGGTACTAAGGTATTTTTACCAATGCTACTTTCTAGAAAATTCAGGTCAGAGGTTCCTGGGAGTCAGAATTTGGCAAAAGAATCAACTACTACATCCTGGAGCTATGGCTAACCACACAAGTGATCTTCAGGTACAAAGATCTTAAGTGAATTTATTTTCTAAGCCAAAAATGAGTTGAACACTCTAAATGAGGAAAGGCAGTAATCTTGTGAAGCAAGTGACATCCCCAGAAAGCAGGTAAATGACAAGAACTGTATCTCAAGCACGCAGGCAGTTGCCGCCAGCCCAGTCAGGATGAGGAAATGGAAGACTGTGGCATCAGACCACACAGGCCACATTCTACAGTGCATCTCTGGCTGTCTTTGGGTCAGGCTATAAAAGCACTGAATCAGTGCAAAAGGAGGATGAAGAAGAAAGAAGCAAAAAAGTATGTGTTCAATGTTATTGAAGAAACATAGAGAAGAACCACTAAGTCAATCGTGTGGGTCACAAATCTCAACGTTAGACTGCCTTAGGCATTTCCCAGGCCTCCCATCCTGAAGGATTTTGACTGTACAGCCTCTGTTCCATGGGACTTGGGAAATACCAAATTACAATTCTGTTTAATACATTAACTTCTGAAGTACAATTTAATTGTAAAATATTATCAATTCATATTATTTCACAAAGCAATATTGTGAGTCTACCAGTTGAGAAAACCACATATACTATATGAATACTTTTTTGCACAATAAATATGTATATGTTTGAAAATATGTTTAAGGCTGAAAATCCAAAGTAGGCAACATGCAGTTTCTTTAAATATGTAAAGAATTTCTTAAAAAATAGGTAACTCTCCTTTTAAATTTTAAAGCATGAAAATTAGAAATTATGTCTCATATTGATATTATAAAGAAAATAAGTCACTGACTTTTTTTATTTCAGAAAGTTCATGTCTTTTATCATGATTGAAGGAATTGCATGATCAATTAAATATTATCAACATTATTTTCCAAGTTTTTCCATTACTGTTTTTAAATGCAGCCATATACCCGGGCATTTTGAATTTTACAGACATCTACAAGCAATCAAAGACTTACAGCATCACATTATGCTTCTTCAATAGGGTCTGAGATGAAACTAGCAAAACAGAACAGACTACAAGATCACAGGGATTTCACTGAGGACTTTCCTACAGAATCCTAGAATTTAAAGGAGAAATAAAATCGCTGGATATATTTTAACAAATGAAAATTCTGCTTTTACATACTTATAAAATGGCTACAAAGCCTTTATTATAAGGGATAACCCAAAAAGATACCCAATTATGCACCACGCAATGTGCAAAAAATAATGGTTTACAAGTATTTGTTGAATAACTAAGGGAATCTGGGTTTTCCTTTCCTTGTAGACCAAATCAGAGATGTTTTCTGGTTAAACTCACATCAAGCTACTGGAAAATTACATCTTTAACTTCATATCTTCAATTTCTTTGTATTAAAAAAAGTGAAAAAGAATGGATGATAAAAATAAACAGATGATAGTTTTGAAATATTTTGTTCTGGTGAGAATGCTTGATTTGCTGTTTCATCCTTAAGCTTTTTCTTTGATTCCTTACTGTAAGTCTAAAAATCCACTGCTACTGTGAAGACAGCTTCTGATTCAGTTCCAGTGCTCTTTTATCACTGTGAGTTTCAGCGTTCTTCACCAACACCTATTGGAAATCACATAGAATCTTAGTGTTTTGTTTATCAACAATATCTGTGCTTATTAGCTTCCAAAGGGCTGCAAATTCAAAAGGAAATACTAAAGAAAACACAACTGTATATAATCTTTTACTTTTGCTGAAATAAATTACTCAACTAACGTTAACATAAGAAACACAATTTACTAGTAAAGATGTCAACATTTTGATTGTTACATCTGTCAGTTTTTCATAAAATTAAGTTTTGTTTACATTCCTGTCACCTCTAAACTCTTACTCCATATGTCTTCTTTATATAGAGAACTGTCTATATGTTGTGGCTCCTGTTTAAAACCATGGTATAGGCTCAAGACTCTAAGTTTTAGGTTTATCAAGAAGCTTTTCATTATTTTCACAAATTCTACAAGCTAAAAAATCAATTACAACTGATCACTCAGCTATATTTTCTGCTTGTCCATTGTCAAGTACTATGAACGGTCTGGAACTTAGGTCTGTTTGCAAACGAATAAGACAGCGTGTCACAATTTCAAGATGCTGCCAAATGACACAAGACTCCCTGGTCAGACAAAGGTCTTTATTACTAACAGTACATGAACATCAACATATTGCATCTATGCCCTTTGTCCTCTAAGTCTCTCACAGCAATGATATGGACGGATATATAGTTTCCCACCTAGTTAGTGAGTGGAGTTACACAAGAGGAACCCTGAGCCTAGGAGACTCAAGTTTAGTTTTTGTTTTAATAAGGGGGCAACTTAATGTTGTACATTAATGTGTACCATTTATTCTGGAGAGGAGCATTATCTGTCTCCCAAGACTGTTCACTATATAAATATCTTTGAAAAGATTATGTGGAAAAAAGAGCATTTGGGACCCCTGCTCAAAGGATGTTCAGAAATGTAACAGACATGTAATGAACTACCTGTTTTACCAGGTAAGGACTTTAGACTAGCACCTCAACTTTTCATAAATTTCTGTATATCTAATGAATGACTTTTACATTTGTCATGATCTTAATGGTTCAGAGATGAAATACTACAATTAGGCAAGCTCCCTAACATTTTACCCATCTCCTTTAAGAAAGCTTATAAAAATGCATGTGAGACTAACCAAGCTTACAAAAATAGGCATGTGAGAATAACCATGAATCTGCCATGTATTATTACAGAAAATGAAAAATTAAACTTTCTTGTCACCTATGGCTAATATGCAGTTTTTGTAAGTGGCTAAAAGATAATTTATCCTGGAGCCAAGTATGAGTGAGCATGCTCAGAACATGAGGTTATCTCAAATTCCATGTTCCAAGATGGTAACAATTTCATGAAATTTTATATAGTAACAGAACAAAAAAGTCATAAATAAGAACATTTTAAAAACACTGGCAGAAACATAAATTTTATTTATTTGTGTGTGTGTGTGTGTGTGTGTGTGTGCGTGTGTGTGTATGTGTGTGTGTATACACATGTGTAGGTGTAAGAGGACAACTTGTCATCAGGGTTATGTGGCAAATGCATTTACCCACTAAGCCATCCTGTTGGCCCTAGTATGTGATTATGTAGAACATAGCTCACAACTGATCTTCACAGAAAGATTTTTAAACCAATGCCCTCTACCTTTAGTATTAGATATTAGTTCAGTTTCTGGACTTTGAAATGATTATCACAAAGAAAATTTAGTATGGCTTCCCCAAATAAAGCATCTTGCACATACACAAGTTGAATCTATACTAAACTAATTCTGAGCATAGCTCAAAATACCTCTGTTATTCATGTCAAAGAATCTTAACTTTCACTATTACAATACCAAAATAGGAAGTTTAAAACAAACCCATTGTCAAACACCAAGCTATCTATACATTTAACCTTCAAGCCATGCAAGTAATTATTTTTCTACTTTTAATAGATGCAAGAACAGTCAATCACTGAAGTATTGGGGCCAAAGAATTATAGTGCTCATCGTTTAAAATTTCAATAATAATGAAGAATAATTTTGAAAAAAAAAACTAATATCTTAAATACAATTAATGCCTTACATCAATAAGCTCATAGTCATTTTTGGCATGCAGGTGTCTCAACAGGTACCAACGTGCAGTGGATACAATAGAATTGGGATATCCAGGCTGATACACTACTCTCTCCAAAAGTCGCCGTGTCTCCCTGGGAGAAAGATATTTACATTTAGTAAAAAGCATTTAAATTACTATGAGATATTTTATATACCAATCTTATACGTACATTATTTTTCTCATTCTTTTAACTTACTATGAGATATTTTATATACCAATATTATATGTACATTATTTTTCTCATTCTTTTAAAGATGTTATCTGATTACTTCATGATTTTTATTCAGATAATAAAGGTAATAATAATGGTTAATATTTATTAAATGTTTGTTATGAACAAATAACATGTGACCATAATTAATATTCAAAATCTTATCGCTAGTCTTATTCTCCTGCAGACAAGCAACTTAAAGTCCATTTCAAATACAATGGGAAAAGATTCCTAATTCTATGAGTACTTTTGGGTTCTACCTGAAACCTTTTTTGACAGTAGGGAGAAAATTGGCCAGGCACAGTGGCACATGTCTGTAATCTCAGTATTTGGGAGGCTGAAGTAGAAGGATCATAAGTTCCAGGCCAGCCTGGGCTGCGTAGTAAGACCCTATCTTAAAAAACAAACAAACAAACAAAAAAATCCTCAATTAACCAGTAATACAATTATGATACATAGGAGAAAAAGAAATATTTAATATTTGTATAAGAGGCTGTGTGTGTAAAATCAGGCTTTTAGTGTATGTTTTCAAGGATATGTACAATAGATGAACACAATTCATATAATTGTAAGCTGATGTAAGGTTGTGCTGATTTTTTTCTTTTCTAATTTACTACCACTTATGACTCTCAGAAACAACATAAAACAGTAGTAACGTCAGAACTGCTACACAGAAGGATGGTGCAACTGGTAATTGCTCTGAGCAGGAAGGAAAGGATTTGCCTTGAAGAAGTTTCTGCACAAGAATCACATCATAATCGGTTTCTTCTTAGACTATATTTTGGAGGCTAATTTTTGGAAGTGATAAAATTCTAAGAAGGACAAGATTCCATGGGGATGAGAGCTAATGCCCCTGAAGTCACTCAGTGTGCACTAGCAGAAAGAGTTCATGAGCAAGTTTTCAGGTGGAAGCGCACGTGCACACACACACACACACACACACACACACACACACACACTCACGCTCAGTACATATGCTGTACTCAATACATATGCTGCAGTTTCTGATAGTTATAGGATTTTAATTCTTCCTTCAGTCTTGTCTTGTGAGGTTTTGCCATATATTTATACATATTAAGCTCTATTTCTATAATACCTATTATACTTCAATAATGTTTGTTCCTAAATCATTGTTTTACTTATGGTGGTTTGTTATTAGAGCTAGATGTTATTTTTATTTTTTTTTCAACACTTTGGGGCTAGGCATGCCTTTAATCCCAGCACTCAGAAGGCAGAGCATGGATCTCTATACGATCCAAGCTCACCTGGGCTATACAGCAAATTCCAGGCCAGCTGGGGCTACAGGGAGACCCTGTCACAAAACAAATAAATAAATAAATTTAAAGACTTTTGCCTGTTTTTTCACCCATATGACCTCTAAGTAATTTTCTTCATATTTATTGTGATTCTATCCCAACCTCTAATAAAAATAGTAAGTTTTATGTTTTAATCTGAATAGCCTTTGAATACACTTGACATGAAAGCACATTATTTACAAAAGATATGTTTATTTTTTCAACATTCATTACTTTTCCCATAGTTTACTGAATAAGCAAGAATGTCTTTTACTATAACCTTGAACTTGGGTCATTTGGATCTTGTCTGTTTCTAGAATCTACATCACAATGCTGGCTCATGCTAAAATAGCAGACAACAAAGGACCTCAAGGACACATACATTTGAAATGCTGTCACTTTTGTATTTACAGTACCATTTTTTGTTAAATTATTTTCTTCCTTTCTATAAAACAAAACCATCTGTTCTAAAGTAAAGATACAGGAATATTCCAAAGCTGGTTAAACTACTTTATCTAGCTAGTTATAAATCTTTGTTTCCTAAGAGCCTTTAAAATGACATAGGATTTCCAATAAAAAAAAAAAAAAGAACATTTCTCATACCTTGCCCCCATTTTGCGGTTGAATTGTAATAAAGCTTGTAAAAAGATGGCCAGTGGACAAAAGCACAGTTTCAAAGCCTCCGTTGTAGCTTCTTGAACCAAGGACGACCAGTGATCACCTGAAATATTAGCCTGTGAAAGGGTAAAAAATATTAGCTCAAAGATTTAACACATTTACTTACAAAAATACATAACTTGGTTCTCATTTATTGAATCTACTTATCTAAATCACAATATAAATACAAGGAGCATAATTATAATCACTAAAAATGATCTAAGATCTCATCCCTGCCCTTAAAGACCTACAAAACCGTAGTAGACCAAGATAAAAGAAGATCTCAAAAACAACAAAGCATCATTTTCACTTGTTAAAAGAAAATATACATTATAGGTGAATTGAGCCCATCAGCTAGTAATCTTTTCTTTGGTCTACCAAATTTACATGATTAACTCTTTAATAGTGATAAATAAAAAATTCTACTTATAAAAAGTGGAAAAAACCTGAAATGAAATATTTTAATAAAATCACAATACATAAAGAATGAAGCAGATGAAAGAATAATTAAAGTCATTAATACTGAAAAGAAATAATGACACTGTGTGGGAGAAATGGTTATTACTTTGGTTACAAACAAGTTTTAAATAAGTACTAATGTAAAAACAGCATGAACTTTTTAAGAAAAAAAATCACTGAAAAATAAGTGTTAACAAAGAAAAAAGAAAAACTGTAATAAAATCTCACATTGGGGCTGTGGATATAGCTGCATTTGGTGGAGTGATTGACTAGCATGCCTGAAGCACTGGCCTCTGCTGTGAGGTGTCCCACCAGAGAAGACTGCTCAGATACAGAGTATTGCCAAAAGAAAGTCTTCATAGCCCACTGGCAACTACAAGCGCAGGCTGAATTTTTCTCAGGGTAGGTTTTATACAGAAAAAAACATATCCTTGTCAGCTCAGGGGTGGAAAGTCCCCAACAGTTTCTTCCTGCAGGTGCAAGCCAAGCAGAGTGGAAAGTATAGAGGCCAGAAACAAGCAGTTAGCAACAGCGGCCAGGTACACGCTGACCTTTATCTCAAACCCAAATCCTGGTGTAGCTGGGCCAAACTTCTCTATTCTCACACTTTGAGTCAACTGCCTCTAGTTTAAGTTGCTGAGGTCTGTCTGCTAGGACTGTAACATGGTCAGCCCTGAGGGTGCTCAATCACACTTCCACCCCAGCACTGCATAAACTGGATGCAGCAGCACAGGCCAGCAATCTTAGCAGGTGGAGACAGGAGGCTTAAAAGTTCAAGGTCATTATGCTGGATAGCTTTAGTGTCAACGTGACACACCTGGGTTAAGGGAGCTCAACTGGGGAATTGCCTCCATTGGACTGATCTATGGCCATGTCTGTGAGGCATCTTGATTATTGAGTGATATGGGAGGGTCCAGCCCAGGGTGGTGGTGCCACCCCTGGGTAGGTGGGCCTATGAGCAGGGACAGAGGAGTAAGCTAGTAAGCATCGTTCTTCCATGGCCTGTGCTTTAGCTCCTGCCTCCAGGTTCCTGCCCTGAGTTCCTACCTTGTGCTCCCTGAGGAACTGTGACCTGGGCGATATAAGATAAATAAACCCTTTCCTTCCCAAGAGTGTCTTGTCACAGCAATGGAGAAACAAACTAGAACAGTCACCCTTGGTAACACAGCAATTTGAGGCTAAACAAGGTTACATGAGACCCTATCTCAAAAACAAACAAAAAACAAATAAAAAAAAATCCTCAAATTGTACCAATATCTTTTAATCACAAGTACCCAGAATATTCATTTTAATATTCAATATAATGGGTGAATACATAGTTCATAGTCGTTTTCACATTTTAATATAGTCAATATAACATATCATCTATTTCAAACACTAAATTTTAAGAAAACATGTTTAGGGCAATAGCCTCTGAGTACAGTGTAGGCAAGACCAACTTATGTAATTGAGGAAGAGGCTTAATGCGTAATGAGTATGCAAAGGTATATCGTCTACACATGAAAACAAAGGGAATGAAGTGCACCTAACAAAGAAAATAAGACAAAGAACAGTAATTAAACTATTTCTAATGCTTTTGTAAAGCCTAGTAACAGGCTAGGGAGATAGCGCTGGATAAAGCACTTGCTGTGCAAGTGTGAGGATCTGATTTCAGATCTCTAGCACCCACACAAATGCTGCACGGTGGAGTGGACCCTGGTGCCTTGCCTGTAATCCCAGTGCTAGAGCTGCAGAGACAGGAGATGGAGGCAGACTAGCTGAGTGGGACTAGTAAAATTGGCAATTTCTGTTTTCACTTGAGACCTTGCTTCAATATATAAAGTTGAAAGAAACTGAGGAAGACACAGGAGACCAAACTCTGGTCTTCATGTACATGTGCACCCACACACATGAACACACATGCACATACACACATAAAACCTAGTAACCAAAACTTTCACTAATTCTTTTAAATATATTCTCAAATTTCTAATAAATAAAATACTCTATAAGGTTAGATCAAAGCTGATTATATAAAAACATTTATTACAGAATCATAATAATATAATCAGAATGCACTTTTTGTCTTCCCTATGTCTTTAAAATTTATTATTTGAAAAAGACCTTTTCTTTGTTCCTGTATACAGATTATAGTAGACCTCATGACTCATAATCATTTATCCATTCACTAACTGTCTCAACCAAAATGTGCTCTATTCTTTCAACACTTCAACCACCACACAAAGGTGCTATCTGCATCCTCTCACCAACCCCCTCCTCTCTCAGGTATGGCTGTGGTTAGGGACAGCTGCTGATGGCTTGCTGCTCCTGCACTGCACTTCCACGGCTTCTTGCTAAGAGTATTTTCAGGTCCTCAGTAAATTTTCCTAAGTATTTGATTAGTACCATGGTAAGAGGTGATTGATATTATACTCACCAGGCCTGAAAGCTATTTAAAGTGATCTTTCTCATGCTAGCTTTATCAGAGACACTCAACAAGAAGTTACTTATCTACAGTTCTAGCTACAAAAACTGTAGGGTCTAGTACAAAAATAAAAGTCTAGGTCTGTTCAAAAAGTATTAAGAATTTCAAGGTGGCAACTACAGAGCATTAGTTCAAGTGTGGAGCCCTGTGTGATGTCATGGGACACAGCCCTACTTATTTGGGCAGATGCACAGATGTACTCTATCTTTCAACACTTCAATCACTTATGCTGCTCTACTTTTGATGGAGTTATGTCTCAATAAAATAAGTTATTAATATCATTAAGCCAAAAATACATTTAAGACACATTACCTACCAAACATTTCAGCTTAGCAACAAAGTACACTGTAGAGCACTAGTTGCTTATCCTCATGATCACATGGCTGAATGGAAAGTATAGCTACCTGCTGCTTCCCAGAATCAACAGCATTATACCATCCATGGAGAGCCCAGGAAAGATCCATATGCAAAATGTGAGCTAAAATTTTACCGTACTCCCTGCATATAAGCAGATATTCCTGCCCGCCTTGAAATTCAACCACTGTTGGTCACTTTCTCCCAGAAACAAGAAGTTATTTCTCAGAACTTTAGCACATTTCTTCTTCACATTAAAACCTAAGGCTGATTGCCACAGCCTCTGAAACATGTCAGTTACCTATCTAACACTTTCAAACACGTGTGCATAGCTCAAAAAGAAACATATCAAAGATCCCTGTCTGGCAGCAACCCTCACCTTGTACGTGTGTGTAGAAAAGAGCCAGTGGAAAAGTGGGGAGCCAACACCTCTGCCCAAGAAACTTCTCCCCCTTCCTTCTCAATTCCACTCCTCCGGTGCTTTTATAGCTTCCTTATAGGCTAACCTCTGCCTCAAAAACATTTCCTGATCTGATTTCTCATGGTTGCAAGTGATGTCCAATATCCTGACTTTTTTTTAACTTAGTATCTGTTCACATATTTGTTATCATACATGTTATCACAGTCTTATTTTAACACTCAATTCCTCTGTCAATGTTTTACATTTCCATAGAAATATGGCATCTATTTTATTCCTTTCTAGTAAAGCTAGGTGGCAAAGCTTCTAACAAGAACAAATTAAATTTAGTTAGTGCTTTAAGGTTTATGTATTTGTAAATGTTGCTTCATTTGATATATACAAAAAAACCACAAGAAGGTAAAGCAGGCATTCGTGGAAAACAGGAAAAAGGCTCTCAACAGTGAACTAGCTAAGGATTCCGTAAGTACTAACTGTAAAATCACAACATTGGTCCTTAGAGAAAACATTTTGTTTTATGGTGGTAGTAGTCAGGGGGCAGGGGAGACATGTGCTTATCACTAAACAACACACTAACTTCCACATCTGTGAAATAAGGTGACTATAACTATTAACTAAGTTATTGCATAAAGCACTAAATCTGGTGCTGTACTGGTTTTCTATTGCTAAAACTATTATTAATTTGTTTTATTCCAGGTGAGATTTAATTTCTGAGAATTAAAAACTCCAACTGATATTTATAAGTAATGAATGCTGTTGGGCTAAAAAAGTATCTCTTTCTCTTGTTCACATATTTGATAGCTCAGCAGTTTCTAAGGTCTTATAGACTCTGGTAAAATCTAAATATGGGACAAATAAAATAGAATGCCAGATAATCTACAATAACGGTTTCCATTTTTTCTTTCCAGCCAAATCATCTCCTGTTTGGCTATATTATTATTTATTCATTTGTTCAAAAACCATTTACTATGGAGCATCTTTATGCAAAGCATTGGTAAAACCAGGGAGGAAGAACAAAACATGGCCCATGGATCTACAGTAATGACATCAAAGCCGAAAACTTCTACCAGTTCTTTAACTTCTTAGTCAAAATGCATAAAGTGAATAAATAACATTTGTACAGATTACTTACAAAAAGCAAAATTTATTTCAGTCTGCCTAAAATAAACTCTTCTCTGTAAAACAGAAAGAATAACAGCTTATCTTTTAACTACAAACCATATGAATATGATAAAAATTCAAATACTATCAAAAGATATGAAATTAAAAATTCTCTTCTACCACTCCTTAAAAGCCCCAGTCCTATTCAAATTAACTGCCATTGTATTTCTTATGTATCTTTCCATGTAATATCTTTCCATGTGTTTGCAAACATGCATGGCCACAATCATTCTTGATTTATCC